TGCCCCCCCCCCGCCAACTCTGCTTCCCACCCTCCCTTCCTCCTGGCCAGTCCCCTCCCCCCCACCAGAGGCTCCCAGTGCCGATTGCGCCCCACCTTCCAGTCATTCCCACTGCCAGGCTTCAGTCTGGCACCCAGCTGGAAAACCAGGAAGTATCAGACATTGCATATGTCCGGTATTTTCTGGATTTTTCTTTTTTTTACCAGACAGAGTGCCCAAAAACCGGACATAGAACCAAGAGGGATACTTTGCGATCATTCACAATGATCTCCTGTACAGCACAGACAAAGGGTGGGCAATAGCACCTAAGTGGGCCATATGTGGCCCACTAAACAGGTGGATCCAGCCAGCAGAGGACCTCCTGCTTCCTCGCCCCTCAGTTAATTAGATCCTGGGGGCGGGGGAGCGCACAAAGTCTTTTCCGCTTTGCCCCTGCTCTGCAAGCAGCATGTGGTGTTTCAAAGCGCCGTGTGCTCCAGGCAGGGCACGAGGAGGCTTCCCATGCTTCCCTGCCCCCAGGCTAATTAGGGATGGGGTGGGGGAACATGTGAAGCCTCCTCCCACCCTGCCAGGAGCATGCGGCACTTTGAAGCACCATTGGGGGGGAGAGCGGAGGAGGCTTCATGCACTTCCCTGCCCCCAGGCCTTAATTGGCCTATGGGCAAGGGAGCAAGGAAAGTCTCCTCCCACACCAGGGGCATGGGCACCTTGGGGGAATATGGGGTGGGGGCAAAGGCATTCCCTCACCCCCAGAGCAATCATTGTCTGGGGGTGGGGAACCCAGAAATATCTTGGCCATACCCCTTCTGTTTGATGCCCTACCCCTTCCACTCGATGCCCTGCCCCTTCCTGTGTGGCCTGAGACCACTTCAAAAATTTCCAAAGTGGCCCCCAGCAAAAAATTATTGGCCACCCCTGGCATACACCAAAGAATTTCCTCAAAATAATTCCTAAAGATCTTTTATAAAAACATACAACTTTGCATTAAAATTTGTCAGTGATGGAGAATTCACTGTAACCCTTGGTGAATTGTTCCACAGATAATTGCCTTCATTGTTAAAAATGTATGCCTTCATTTCGCTTCAACTTCCAGCCATTGCACCATGTTATCATAGAATAACAGGGTTGTAAGATACTTGGGTGCCACAGTGGCACATCCAAACAAGCCACAAACTCAGTACTGGTGCACAACACAAAATGTATTGTTCTCATGGGAGGAAACTCTTAGAGGGAACACTACCCCCAGCCTCTCCACCCCCTGAGATAATGTCACAGACATTGGGTTAAAGGAATTGCAGGATAGTTGCCTGGGAGTGTGGGGGAAGGTTGGTGAGGGCCAAACTAATCCCTGTTGGTAAGAGGATGGTGGGAAAAGTCCTTGGGGGGAGGGGTGTGAAATGATACCTTTTATTTCTGGTCATGTGTCCATATCGCCCCAAAAGTATTACCCCCCAGAGGCTTGGCTAATGGAGGTCGGGGGGTGTGGTTAATGGGGGTCAAAGAGTACATTTTAAAAAAATTCTTTGGGTGCACACCCTAATGAAATGTGCTGCGCACGCCTACAGAGAGACTTAAGAAGGCTGCAGGGGGCGAGAGGCCCCTTTTAAGAGGCAAGGAGCTAAGGTCTGTGCTGGAGCCACCCAGTATAAGTAACTTGTTTGGAGGACAAGGTTCTCCTATCATTAAGGAAACTAACCTCAAAAGACTCCTTTACAAGTGTCTTAAAATTCGTCTTCTCTTCTGAATTTATATATGCCCACTAACCATTACCACGGAATCAAGCAGTGGACGTGGTATACTTAGACTTTAGTAAGGCGTTTGATACAGTCTCGCATGATATTCTTATCAATAAACTAGGCAAATACAACTTAGATGGGGCTGCTCCCTGTGACCGGCTGGAGTTCTTTTACCTGGTGCTTGGTTTTGTTACAGCAATTGAAGGAGTCAGGTTAAAGCTTAAACAGTGACAGGTTTATTAAAGAAGCTTAAAATCATATGGTTACAATGGCTATTGCTCTATTTCTTAACTGATAGCAAATATAGATCTTAAAAAAAAAATAGTTACAAAGGAAAAAAAAGATAGAAAATAGAAATAATGGTACCAAGTGACAGCTTAATCTTTAAAGAGATCTAAGTCTATGTGTACACTTAAGACAAAGGACACATCCAGGTACAATTTTTACCCTCTTCTGTGCCTCTCGACTCCAGCGTATCAGGCCGGGGCCAGTCCCTCAATTCCTAGGAAAGGCGAATACGAGGTGGGCATCCCCATGGAACCTCGGGAGGCCAATCACCTAACCCGACCAGCAGATAATGATAGATTGACGCTTAGAGTAAGTGTGCTGCTGGGCCCATATTTTATGCCCATAGGGGCCCGTATTCTCTTTCTTATCTAAGATGCCAAATTGTGTAGGTCCGTCTTTGTGATGCCAGTTCTTACAAGGGAGTTTCAACTTAATTTACACTTGTAAGAGAGATAACTAAATTGTGAGTACTGGACATTCTTTACTGGGCGGGAGATTCCTCCCCCTGGACGAGTGTGTGTTTGTATCAATATAGGTGCCAGCCAAGGCAGTTCTCACAACCTCAAGGTCAACAATTGGCGTATCTCTGTTTACAGCCATCCAGGATCACTGCGAGCTAGCATATCCGGGCCTCCTGTCAAGGCTTCAAAGACTATGCTGATTTTACTGCTCTGTGTGTGCTCTGTATGCTCTAGGCAAGCAAGATGGATGTTACAGGTGGGGGTTCCTGTCTGGCTACTTGGTCTGAGGTAAACAGGATGAAGTTTAATAAAGACAAATGCAAAGTGCTCCACTTAGGAAGGAACAATCAGTTTCACACATACAGAATGGGAAGCGACTGTCAAACGTCAAGGGGGTCAGAGCAGAGGAGAGCGGACCTGCAAGCTTGGTCCAAGCAAAAGGCATTTCCCCTCTATTGCACTGTAGGAGGAAAGACTTCTGGGAGGCATTCATAGGAGCGTGGAGAGCAAGACACGAGAAGTCATTCTTCCGCTCTGCTCTGCACTAGTTAGGCCTCAGTTGGAGTATTGTGTCCAATTCTGTGCACCACATTTCAAGAAAGATGTGGAGAAATTGGAGCGGGTCCAGAGAAGAGCAACAAGAATGAATAAAGGTCTAGAGAACATGACCTATGAAGGAAGGCTGAAAGAACTGGGTTTGTTTAGTTTAGAAAAGAGAAGATTGAGGGGGGACATGATAGTTTTCAGGTATCTAAAAGGGTGTCATGAGGAGGGAGAAATCTTGTTCATCTTGGCCTCTGAGGATAGAACAAGAAGCAATGGGCTTAAACTGCAGCAAGGGAGGTTTAGGTTGGACATTAGGAAAAAGTTCCTAACTGTCATGGTAATCAACCTCCC